CATGTCCTCCTACAGGCGGATTTTTTAAGTGAAAATATAATTATAGCCGGAGTGCAGTATCCCCAAACAGGGTTTTTAGACGCACTGCGGTTTCCAAGGTCGATTGCGTGCCCGCCTAGTGCGGGCTGGCATGGCATGTTAAAACATGCCTCCTGCTCCTCCTCCTCCTCCTCGTCCACCTCCTCTTCATCCCGAAAGGCATCTCGGAACCCAGAGTTGCGAGGATGTCTCCAGCGTAACGGGTTGGACCACCTCGCGCGCGGCATTTCGGACCCCAGAGTTGCGACGATGTCTCGGGCGAAACGTGCTGCGAGGAAGTCTCAGGCGAAACGGGCCGGACCACCTCGAGCGCGGCGTCTCAGAGCTCCGAGTTGCGGGGGCCTCCTGGTGCCTCCTGGGGCCTCCTGGGGACCTCCTGGGGCTTCCTCCCGGGCCTCCTGTGGCCTCCTGAACTCCACCTGGGTTTCCTGAAGCATCTTGGGGCTCCCAGGGGGGATATCTAACCTGTGGCCGTTTGGGCCTCTCCAAATACAGGGGGGGGCCACAGGAGCAGGAAAAATCAACGAATCGACACCGGATGTGTATTAACTTGACACGTTCTGATAGAGGGCCTCCTGGGGCCTCCTGGGAGCCTCCTGGGAATCTCCTGCGGACCCCTGGGGCCTGTCCTGGGCGTCCTGCGGCCTCCTGAAGCTCTCTGGGACCTCCCCCTCCTCCTGCCTGCTCCCTCATGCACATCATCCGCCTCCTCCTTCTCCCTTCCATCTCCTCCTCCTCCTCCTCCTCCTCCTCCTCCTCCTCCTCCTCCTCCTCCACCTCCTCTTCATCGCGAACGGCATTTCGGAGCCTAGAGTTGCGAGGATGTCTCCAGCGTAACGGGCTGGACCACCTCGCGCGCGGCATCTCGGACCCCAGAGTTGCGACGATGTCTCGGGCGAAACGTGCTGCGAGGAAGTCTCAGGCGAAACGGGCTGGACCACCTCGAGCGCGGCGTCTCAGAGCTCCGAGTTGCGGGGGCCTCCTGGTGCCTCCTGGGGACCTCCTGGAGCTTCCTCCTGGGCCTCCTGTGGCCTCGTGAACTCCACCTGGGGTTTCCTGAAGCCTCTTGGGGCTCCCAGGGGGGATATCTAACCTGTGGCCGTTTGGGCCTCTCCAAATGGAGGGGGGGGGGCACAAGAGCAGGAAAAATCAACGAATCGACACCGGATGTGTATTAACTTGACACGTTCTGATAAGCGGCCTCCTGGGGCCTCCTGGGAGCCTCCTGGGAATCTCCTGGAGACCCCTGGGGCCTGTCCTGGGCGTCCTGCGGCCTCCTGGTGCCTCCTGGGCCTCCTGGGGACCTCCTGGAGCTTCCTCCTGGGCCTCCTGTGGCCTCCTGAACTCCACCTGAGGTTTCCTGAAGCATCTTGGGGCTCCCAGGGGGGATATCTAACCTGTGGCCGCTTGGGCCTCTCCAAATGGAGGGGGGGGCACAAGAGCAGGAAAAATCAACGAATCGACACCGGATGTGTATTAACTTGACACGTTCTGATAGAGGGCCTCCTGGGGCCTCCTGGGAAATCTCCTGGGGGCCCCTGGGGCCTGTCCTGGGCGTCCTGCGGCCTCCTGGACCTCTCTGGGGCCTCCTGAGGCTCGCAGGGTCCCATGGAGGATATGTAACATGTGGCCTTCTGGGCCCCCAGGCTGGACCACCTCTTGCGCAGCATCTGAGAGCTCAGAGTTGCGAGAATGTCTTGTGCGAAACAGGCCGGACCACCTTGCGCACGGCATCTCAGATCTCAGAGTTGCAAGGATTTCTCAGGCGAGACGGGCCGGACCACCTCGCGCAGGGCATCTCAGAGCTCAGAAGTTCGAGGATGTCTCAGGCGAAACGGGCCGGACCACCTCGCGCGCGGCATCGGGGAGATCAGAGTTTCGAGGATGTCTCAGGCGAAACGGGCCGGACCACCTCGCGCGCGGCATCTTGGAGCTCAGAGTTGCGAGGATGTCTCAGGCGAAACGGCCCGGACCACCTCTCGCGCGGCATCTGGGAGCTCAGAGTTTCGAGGATGTCTCAAGCGAAACGGCCCGGACCACCTCTCGCGCGGCGTCTCAGAGCTCAGATTTAGGAGGATGTGTCAGGCGAAACGCTCAATCCCGGACAACTCAGAAACGAGAGTTGTGAGGATGTCTCAGGCGAAACGCGCCGGACCACCACATTTGTTTGAGGATGTCTCTGCTTAGCTTTCCCTCGGCCGGAATTAGCTTCTATCACAACAGCACCCCGTTCAGCAAGCTGTTTGGGGAAAAATGATAAACCCATGCGCAAAGGTGGTCAAACAATAATCGAAAACTCGTCCCCCTACTCTGTTTTGACTACCTTTGAATTTTCCTCCTACAGGGGGACAGGCCCGACGCACCTCCAAGAGGGCTGGCGCACGCGGCACATCTGCGGCGCCTCGGATCCGAGCTGCGGGCAAGCTAGGCTGGGACGCAGGCGGAGCGGCACGCGGGTGAGGGGGAAGTCGGGAGTGAGGGCTCCCGACTTCGCGCTTCGCGCTTCGCGCTTCGCGAAGCGCGAAGCGCGACTGACGTCGCGCTCTCGCGCCGCCTCCCAGGGGAGAAGAGGAGGATGAGGCATCGGAGCCGAAGCGTGAAGCGCGAAGCGCGAACAACTTCGCGCCCTCGAGGGCGCCACTGAGAAGGGAAAAGGCGTCTGGGACACACATCACCTTCCAGTGGAGAAGATGTTACGGCGCCATGCCGCGCAGGAAACGCGAGACCCGTCGTGGGGGGAAGCGGGTGCTGAGAGAGAAGCGGGTCCTGGACCCCAAAGCGAGGTGTTCCTCCTGACGGGTTCTCTGACAGCCCCAGGGGCCCCTGGAGGGCCACGCGAGCCCGAAAACGGAGAAAAGCCTCAGGACCCGATCCCCCAACGCTTGCAGTCGCTCGGACGTCCCTTCCCCATCTGTATTTTGTCGCGGTCTCGCGCGTGATATTTTGTTGTTGCTCGATGAGATGCTCCTCGAGGGTCCCCTCCGAGAGAAAATGCACACGCCCGAGTGATGCCGAGCACGACGGCGGACACTCGCCGCCCTGGCCTTCCAGGAGCCGATCGCTGGCGGCGCGTAAAGGAGCGAAAGGGGGAGGGGGGAAAGGCCTCTTAGAAGCACCTCTGCTTCTTAGAATGCGCGGCCCTTGTCTGTAGATGTGAGTCCTGCGCCTTCTAAGAAGCAAGGGTGCTTCTGAGAGGCCATCCCCCCCTTCGCCCTTCTCAAGGCCACGGGCCAGGAGAAGCCCGATGTCGGGGACTCACTGGCCCGGGTCAGTGCAAACCCGGGTCAGTCAGGCTCTGCAGGATCCTGCAAGATCCTGCGTCATCCTGTACCCAAGCCCAGGTGAATGCGACCCTGGCCCTGCAGGATCCTGCAAGATCCAGCGCTCTGATTGACCCCCGTTTGCATTGACCCCGGTCTATCGGCGGTGGACAAGCCTCCCTTGAGTAAACCACCCTTTAGTGAAAACTGCCTAGGACGGAAACCGACGGATCTGGACCCGCAAAAAATGACGGCCGCGACGCCCTCTCGCGAGCCGAAAACGGCCAATTCGCTCATTGAAGCGCCAGGGTAGGAGGTCTGTCCACCCCCGAGTCTATGGAGTATTGAACCCCCACGACGTGGGCCGCCGCCTCCCGAGCAGGCCCCGAGCGGCGCCGCTCCTGAGCCCTGCCCCTCTTCTCGGCGCCCTCCTGGCGCGCGCGCCAACGCGGGCGCGAACGCCCGGCGAGCGGGCGAGGCGACGGGGGAGGGCCCTCCTGGACGCCTTCGTCTCGACAGGGGGCCCCGTCCGAGCGCGCCCAACACACACACACACACACACACACACTCACACACTCACACACTCACACACACTCACACACACACACACACACACTTTTCCGTCGGCGGCTGGGCGGAGTCACTGCGGCGGCGATGGGCCGTGAGTGGCATGCACGGAGCGCGAGCCAAGCCGGGGCAGGGAGGGAAGGAGCCCGCGCGCGTGCAGTGAGGGAGGAGCCGAGCCCGCCCAGAGGGGGGCCAGCAGCGGCGGGGGGGCGCCGGGGGCCCCGGCCAGAGGCGGCGGGGCGGCAGCTGGGGGGTGGGCAGCCGGGGCGGCCGCCAGAGGCAGGCGCCCACGGGGGAGGGTCCAGCAGGAGCTGGAGGCGAGAACGGTGCAGCAGTGGCAGGCAGGCAGGCAGGCAGGCAGGCAGGCAGGCAGGCAGGCAGGCAGGCAGGCAGGAAGGCAGGCAGGCAGGCAGGCAGGCAGGCAGGCAGGCAGGCAGGCAGGCAGGCAGGCACACACACACACACACACACGCAGCCGCACCCCTCGTGTTGTCAAGGTGCCCTGGGACGCACAAAGGACTAGGGGCACACAAGTCCCAGGATTCCCAACATGTCTCCCATTCTCGGGAGTTTCGTATCCTTCCCCTCCACTTCCCATGCTTTCCCATCCTTTCCTCGACATCGACACTCGTGTTGGGCGGCGCGCCCGGGGGCGAATGAGAAGGGGCGGGTTTCCCAACTCGCTCGCGGCCGATTTCTGTGGCTGTGTGTTTCTGTCTTCCTGAGTCGGGGGTCCCCACACGGTGCAGTGACAGACAGTGCTATAACCTTGACGTCCCAAGAGACCTCGCCGCACGGTCCGCCACCGCACGGTTTTGGTACAATCTTGAGGCCCCAAACGCCCGAGACGCCCTCGGAAAACGACCCAAGTTCCAAAACCGTGCGGCCACCCTGGATCCCCACTTGAGGGGCAACGATAGGGGGGGATAGGCATAGGGGGGGGAGCATCGACCTGGAATCGGCGATACATCGCCGATGGATCGGCGATAGGCCTCCGATACCGAATCCGCACCTTCCTGGGAAGGCTGGGGCTATCGGGCTCCTCTCGGCGATCCATGGGCGATTGGGGGTCGATGCATCCCCCCCTTATGCCTGTCCCCCCCGAACGTTGCCCCTGACCGCTGACTCACCACACGGTGTGATCACCGCACCGCTTGGGGGCCCCCCCGACCGATCTCGGCCAGGCCCGGCCCGGGCCTGGCAGCGGCTCCCTCACGCGCGCTCCCCCGCCCGAGCCAGGCGGGGGCCGTGGGCGCACACCGCTCTCGGCCCCCCCCCCTGGGCGCGGCCCCAGGACCGCTGCGTGGGCACGGCCCCCCGCGTCGGGCTAGGGTGGCTTGGCGGGCGGTGGTCCACAGCGTTTCTGCTCGGGCACGACCGGCAGGAGGCCGGGGGTTCGACATGAACGGCCTGTCCCGTTCTCGTGTCGTCTCTGTCTTCCGTCTCATTTGGTCTCTCATCCGCCCTTGCAACAAAACGACGTCGAAACGAGCACGGCCCACGATCAACGCCAAATCACCGCTGAGGTCGACCCCTGGCAAGAGGGGTGGGGGGCTCCGAGGACCCCCCGACCCCCCCCCCCACCCAGACCACCGAGCGCCATGCCCTCCCCCTCCCTCCTCCCTCTCTACAATTACACAATATGAAAATACTCTCCCACTTCCCCTGATGGCGTCCCGAAGATGGCCGACCCCCCCCCCCGCGTACTGTTTTTTACACACAGGATTCCCGGGAAACGGGTTTTCGCATGCGTTTTTCCAAAATGCTGCTCTCGCTGAGGCGCTGGCTTCATTTCTGCTCCCGAATCGTTCCGAATCGTGCTCCCGCTGCAGCGTGGGCCTCATTTTCGGATCGGTGTTTGGCCTCCGTCGTTCAGGATGGCGTTCTCGCCCCAGCGCGGGCCTCTTTCTCGCGCGCCCATCCGCCCGCCACCACCGCGCCGCACCACCACCACCACCACCACCACCACCACCACCACCACCACCACCACACCCATCACAACCACCACCACCAGCCACCAGCACACCAGCACCAGCACCACACCACACCACCACCACCACCACCACCACAACCACACACACGCACGCACGCACGCACGCGCACCACCACCCACTACGCACGCGCGCGCGGAGCCACAGGTCCGCTACGACACGCGTCCGCGGATAGAGAAAATCAGCGCCATGGTAAGGGATGGGAGGGAGGGGTAGGACGTCAGATATGACGCGAGCGCACCTAGCTTGCCCCTCCCCCCTCCCTCCCTCCCCCTCCTGCTCCCTCCCTCCCCCTCCTCCTCCCTCTCACTCACCTCCCCCTCCCTCCCCCTCCTCCTCCTCCTTCCTCCTCCTCCTCCCTCCCCCCCTCCTCCCTCCCCCTCCCGCCTTCCTCCCTCCCCTCCCCACTCCTCCCTCCCTCCCCCTCCCTCCGTCCTTCCCCCCCCCCTCCCCCTCAGCACTCCTCGAGCGCGCAGCAGACCATCGAAGGCCAAGCCATTTTTTTTGCTGTGTGCTCTGCCTCCCTCATCCCTCCCCTTCCCTTCCCCCCTCCCCCTCCCTCGAGCGCGCAATGGACCACCGAGGGCGCCATGCCCGGGTCCTCCCTGTGTTCCCCTCCCTCCTCCCTCCTCCTGCTCCCTCTTGACCGCACACCTGAAGCGGTTTCGGCAACGACGACGACCTCCGAGGGACTGGGGCGGGGGGGGGGGGGGCATCCAGCACTTCCGCGCCTCGAGCGTGTTGTAAATTCCGGCGCCTGCTGCCCTGCTGCTGTCCTTATCAGTTTTGGGTGTTGCGGGGTCTGCGAGGACACATCATCTCAACGACACTGGAAGAGAGGCGACGTCCATGCACGCGTCATGTGGGGTCTTTCCTGCACCCTCCTCTCCAACTCCTCACACTACCTCCCTCCGCACATGCCCGTCCCCCCCTCTTCCCTCTCCTCCCGCTCCCCCCTCACGCTCTCGTGTGCCTTGTGGCGTGGGGACGTCACGCCTTTTTGCACCGCAAAACCATCGACACTGCAGGAACCCGGGGCGCCCTGGAGGCGAGCAGAGCGTCTCTCGGCATGGGCCCCCCACTGCCGTCGGCCTCGGACGAGGCCCCCCCCCGCACGGCAGAGCGCTGCGCTCTGTGCGTCTCCGCGCCCAAGGGGGCGAGGAGCGAGGGCGCGGAGCGGGCTGCCGAGCCGGTGTTGGGCTGGACTGGCGGGGCCCAGGGACACGCAGAGAAGCACACGCGAATCCCAAGGTTGCCCCTGCTTTCCCACATGTTCTGGGCGTTCCTCTTCCCCCCCCCCCACACTTCCCACGTTTCCCCATCTGTTCCTGGGAATCGACGATTACTCGTGTCTGTGTGTGTTTTCCCCCTCCTGATGGACAGAGGGAGTCACCCCGTCCTCGCCACCGTCCTGACGCTCACGCCCCTTGCCGGCTGCTGGCGTGGCTATCTGCTCGCCCGTGGGCAGGGCGAGGCCGAGACGGGTACGCGATGTGACCGCGACGTCAAACATCGTGCTCGGTCTCTCGAATCACAGTGGGCGCGCACCGGCCGAGAAAAGCTCCCCTGTTTTGGGCGCCATCGGCTTCGCGAAGCGAGAGATGCACCGTGGCAGAAGCAACATCCAGGCACACATCTGTGGGGAAGAACAATAGCAAGAACATGAACTGTTAGAGCTCCGCGTGGGCTTCCTTGATCGGCGCTGGACCAGGGCGCGCCAGGGGTGGCGCCGAAGGCACCGCCAGGGAACTCCCGCGCAAGTCCAAGGAACCCGCGCGGAGCGTCGAACGTTTAGGCTCATGCCGCTGCCTTCTTTTTTTCCAGTGACGGAGGAGATACGTCGGATGTGTCCCTGTCCTGTGCATGCCCGACTGGGCGCCCCCGAGGCCAGACGAGCAGAGTGGAGCGGATGACGACGTCGGCGACGACACGCGCGTGGTGGTGGCGGCAGAGAGGCAGCGAGCAGCGGCGGCGGTCGCGGCAGAGGGGCGGCGAGCAGCGGCAGAGAGGGCGGTGAGCAGTGGCGGTGGCGGCAGCAGCAGCGGCGGCAGCGGCGGCGGCAGAGGGCAGCGGGCAGCGGTTTCGGTGGTGGCGCCGCCGACGACGGCCGAGTGACGCAGCGGAGCCATCCGAGAGGCGCCGACAGCGGCGACGGCGGCGGCAGAGGCCGTGGCGGCGACGATGCGGTGCGTGGTGCAGCAGCCAGGGCGGCGGCGGCTGGGCTCTGCACGAGCCCGCGGGGGGCGGCAGAGGGCGCACTCCCAGGGGCCTCTCGTGAAAACGCCCCTCGGAGGGCTTGGCAAGGGGAGCTTCCGAGAGGCGGGGTGCCTTCCCAGAGGGCCCCGCCCACCGCCATTACCTCTTCTCTCGGCGGCGAGCGAGGGGCCTTCACAAAAGGCAGCGTGACTTCTCAGAGGCCCTCGCGCCTTCCGGGGAAGGCTCAGACAACTTCTCAGAAAACTGGGCGGATTTCCGAGCCTGCCGAGAAGGCCTGCCCCTTCTCGCTCCCCCCGGGCCCCTCGCCGACTTGGGGATGCCAAAAGGTACCGATACTGCTACTACTCAGGCCTCTCCCGGGGTGCGTGCTGACCAGCATGTCGAGGCGCATCCAGCGGCGGCGACGAGGGCCTCTTGGGAGGACCCCAAAGGGGCAAAACGAAGGAGGAAGGGTAGCGGTATGGATGCTTGCTCCTCCTCTGACGATTTTCGCACCGTCGACCTCTCTCCGGGTGCACAGCAGCGGCCATGCCGGGGACCTGCCTCTATCCGTGCGGCCCGGAGGGAACGCAGCGCGAGTCGGCCGAGCCATGCCATCAGCGCCGCATCGCGCGCGGCCGCCCCTGGACGCGGCGGCTGCCTGGGCGGAGGGCCAAGTCCCTGTCCTTCGGTCGGGCATGTCATCCTACAGGCGGGTTCTGGGCGAAAAATAAAAATAGTCCAACCGAATCAAAAATAATCAAGCCGTGGAAAATCCCACCAGCCCTCTGGGCGTAGGTGGTCTAGAGCAGATCCTCTTCCACCCCTCCCTCTTCCCCCTTGGGGAGGGGTTTACCCCTCCCCCTACCCCCTCCCCTGGACCTGGACGGGGGGGGCCGCGGGTAGTTAGAGCGTCCAAGATGGCCCAAGACGGCTCCAAGAGCGCCTCAGAGAACCCAAGATGAGCTCCAAGATGGCTCAAGATAGCGCAAGATCGCTCACGATGGCTCCTAAGATGGTTCCAAGAAGCCCAAAGACGGCCCCAAGATAACTCCAAGTGGCCAAACAGCTCCCCAAGGAGGCCCCGAAGAGGCCAAAATCGTCCCAAAACCTAAGGAAAATCAATGATTTTTGCTTTCTCGCCTTTTCGCTTCCGATGGCCATCCGAGGCCTGGAGATGGCTCCAAGATGGCCCAAGAGGGCCCCAAGAGAGCCCCAAAAGAGCCCCAAGACGGCCCCAAGAGCGCCCAAGAGCACTCCAAGAGCGTTCCAAGAGGGGTCCAAGAGGCGATTTTAGGGGCTTCCGAGGGGGGACGCTAATTAAACCCCCCCTCTTGTTTGATCGACTCCCTCCAAGATGGCCCCAAAAGCGCCCCGAAGGCTCCCCAGAGCGCCTCAAGAGGGTCCCAAGAGGCGCCCAAGATGCCCCAAGGCGCCCAAAAAGCCCTCCAAGAGGCCCTCAAAAGACCCCCAAGAAGCTCCTTCCCCTCCTCCTCCTCCTCCTCCGATTCTTCCTCCTTCTCCGTCCTCCTCCTCCTCCTCCTCCTCCTCTTCCCCCTCCTCCTCCTCCTCCGACGACGACGACGACGACGACTCCTCTTCCATCCTCCCCCTCTCGGGGTCTGTGACAGCTTCCCCCGCCCTTTGTTATTCTGCATGCTCCCCGACTTCCCTGATCACCTCAACTCCCCTGAGCATCGTTTCTGGATGGGCTGGTGGGGATACGCGAAGCGTCAACAATTGTTTGTTTTTGTTCCCCCCTCTTTTTTTCAAAAAGATGAAGAAAAAACGTCCCCAGATTATGTTTAAACTATTCTTGGATATTCCTCCTGTAGGGGGGCGTGCCCGACTTAACCCGTCCACCCCCACTCACATCCAGACTACGCACCTCTCCATCCCGCTCTCGCCCCTTCCGTTCTGCTCCGGTACTTGTTCGCTTTTCTCCATGGCGCCGCGAGTCCAAAGTGCGCAGGTATCTGAGCTCGGGCGCCGAAGAAACTCCGCCCGTCGCGGGAGGGTAGGCCAAGCCCACCAACCTTCGCACCCCTGCCCCCCACCCGCCCGTCCTCTTCACCTCTCCCCCCACCCCTTCCTCTCCGCATCCCCCCCTCTCATCCTTGTCCCCTCCCACTTCTCCACTCCTCCCGCGCTGATCTCATTCCCTGCTCCTAACCCCCTCTTCCTACTCCTCAACCGTACTCGCTCCTATTCCTACTCGAAGATGGCCCCGCGGTCGCTCAGGCCCAGTCCTGGCGTCACTGCCTGGATCTCCCCTTCTGCATCCAATCTCGTCCCATGCACCGCATCCTCCGTCCCTTCCCCCCACTCACCCATCCAGTCCCGCTCCTCCTCTTCCTAATCCACCTTCCTCCTGCATACTCCTCCCTCCAACATTATCCTACTCAACCGCGCCTAATCATCTTACCATCCTCCGCGTCATCCTCCTCCTCCTCCTCCTTCTTCTCCTCCTCCTCCTCCTGCTCCATTCCTCTCCCTTCTAGATTGCTCATCCCTGTTGCAAACTGATGCCAGTCGGCCTGCGTTTCGCCCGAGACTTCCATACTCTTCATGATCGCGGAGCTGACGCATTTTCACAAATGCAGGGCGGGCCCCTTCCAAAATGCGGCTCTCGCCTGGGCGAGAGCACTTTCGTCTACGGATCGAGGGCGGCTCCTTTTCAAAATATAGTTTTCGCCTTAGCGCCGCGCACATGTCTTTAACACTTGCAACAGTTTCACGGAGTTCCATGGTTGACGCACCTTTGGAACGAATCAGGATTGTCAGGAGCAAGTTGTATGGGCCTATGAAAGCAGAGCTTGGAGGAACGATGTCTTTCAACATCGTTGACGAGTCTTGGGGTTGCACTGGCCCTCCTTCCCTCCCACTCGTACTCCGCCTCTCCTCCGTTACTAACGTGCAAGCACCCTGTTTCTTGCTCTGGTCCTCATCCCGCCCATCATCATCTGCATCTTCAGCATCAGCATCCACTTCATCATCATCAACCACCACCATCATCATCATCATTGCCAGCATCATCATCGTCATCGTCAACATCATCAGCATAATAATCACGAGCATAATCAGCATCGTCGTCATCATGATGGTCATCATCAGCTTGGCATCGTCATCAGCATCAGTATCATCATCGTCATCCTCAGTATTCGCATCATCATCATGGTCATCATCATCATCAACATCATCATCATCGTCATCATCATCGACGTCGTCGTCATCACAACCATCATCGTCATCAACGTCAACATCATCATTCACATAATCATCATCATCATCATCATCATCACCCGCATCCGCAACATCATGAATCCTCAACATTCACAACCAGCATCATCATCAGCAACATCCTCATCATCCTCATCATCCTCATTATCAGCATCATCAGCAGCATCATCATCGTCGGCAGCATCCTCATCATGATCATCACCATCCTCATCGTCATCGTCAGCATCGTAATCATCATCAGCATCACCACCATCGTCATCATCATGATCGTCGTCGTACGCATCGGCATCAGCATCAACATCACCACCATCGTCATCTTCAACGTCATACGCAGCTCCCTCAGCATCAGCATCCTCATCAGCATTAACATACTCACCACCAGTAGCATCGTAATCAGCATCATCATACTCAGCGTCGGCGTTATTATCATCATCGCAATCAACATCATCAGCATCATCATCATCATCAGCATCATCATTACCATCATCATCATCAGCACCGACATCATCATCATCATCATCATCAGCAGCAGCATCATCATCATCCTCATCAACATCATCATTACCAACACCCGCATGAGCAACATCGCCACCGTCAGCATCGTCATCATCATCATCATGATCACCAGCATCATCATCATCGTCGACATTATCACCATCATCGTCATAATCAGCATCATTCTCATCTTCGTCATCATCGTCATCATCACCAGCATCATCCTCATTCTCATCATCGTCGTCATCATCATACTCTTCATCATCAACAACATCATGTGAATCGACACCATCATCAACAACATCACCATCGTCATCATCACCCGCAACATCAGCATCAACATCATCCTCATCAGCATCGTAATCATCATCATCGTCATCAGCATCGTCGGCAACATGGTCATCATCTCCGTCATCAGTATCGCCATCAGCATCATGACCATCATCACTCATCACTACGAATCATCATCTCCACCATCATGATCATCAGCATCAGCAGCATCACCAATATCTCCATCACCATCACCATCATCATCATCATCATAACCATCATCATCATCACGACCATCATCAACATCATCATCATCATCATCATCATCATTATCATCATCCCCCGTCCCGCGACGACTTCATTCCCGCCCCCCTCTCCGCCTCTTACTCCTCGACGACCTTCACCTCTGACTAAACTCGAAGATGGTCCCGTGGCCGCTCGGGCCGCGTTGCCACTTACATCCCCTCTCTTCTCTGCCAACTTGTCCAATCCGCCGCATCCTCCCTCTCACCCCTCTGTCCTACTGCTAACAACTACGAGATCCTGTCCGAGCGGGCCCCGGCTTCTCCCGAATAGTTGATTATGTTCGTAAAAGGCTTCGCATGGTGATGCTCGATCAGGCGTTTCAACGAGGAAGGCTTCACGAGGTGATGCTCGATCTGGCGTTGCAATCCAAAGTTCCTGGTTTCAAAATGGCATTCCAGCTGCAGCGCTGGCTTCGTTTTACGGTCGACGCCTTGCTCCCGTCGTTCAAACTGGCTTGCTAGTCCCAACACTGGCCAAAATTCTGAATCCGCGTGCTCGGTCGTCATCGGCCCGCGCGTTTCCCTCCGCCCCTCCCGCTCCTACTGCTCCTGCTCCTGGTGCTGCTGCTCCTCCTCGTCCTCCGCCTTCCTCATTCTCATCGGCCATTTCCTTCTCCTCCTCCTCCTTCTCCTCCTCCTCCTCCAATGTGCACTGGTCCTCTTTTCTACGACTGCGTATAACACTCCGGGGTCCTTTTGAGGGTTTCACATCCGCTGTGACACCCGTCGGCGGACAGAGAATGATGATGGCGAAGGGCTCAGCAAGTGCAGCTGTGCGTATCGCCATTGTGTGCATCGCCTCTGGTGGATATCCGTATGGCGCCACGAAGCGTGCAACGGGCGCGCCGAAATGGGACGGGGACTAACCAGTCCCGAACGTATCCCTATCCCTAAGATTGGCACGCCAAAAGGCGACGACAGCCTTAGAGATGCACCCTCAGAAACTGAGGGAATCCCTGAGATCGCCATCGTGCTGAGGCGATCCAAACATAGGGATAGGGATGTGCTCCAGGCTGGTACGTGACGCATGCGGGCGCAGTCATTGAGACCTTCGGTGGCGCTCCATATGGGCTCGTGAACCGCGCAAGGGGTGTGCCGACACGGAGCGGGGCCGCCATGCGAACGTCGCCACTGGGGCTTTCCGTGGAGCTTCCCACGGGGCCACAGAACGCGTGAGGGGTATGCCGAAATGGGCGGGGGGGGGGGCGCATGCGAACGTCGCCACTGGGGCCTTCGGTGGAGCGCCGCGTGGGGTCACGCAACGCGAGAGGGATGTGCTGAAACGGGCGGGGGGAGGCGCATGTGGTGGTCACAGCCACCGGGACCTTCGGGCGCATGTGATCATAGTTATTGGGGAATTCGGTGGAGCTCCCTATTGGGCTGCGGAACGCAAGCTGGGTGGAGCGAGATGTGATCACAATCACTGGGGCTTCTGGTGGAATTCGCTACGGGGCCACGGAACGCCGTACTGGGTCGCGCGGGGCGCATGTGGTCACAACCGCTGGGGCTTCCGGTGGAGCTTCCTACGGGGACATGCAGCGCCGTACTGGGTGGCGCTGTAGACACAGCCACTGCCTGTGGAAAAGCGCCTGGGCTCGTCCGATTAGCGCGAAAAAGCTTCCACCAGAAATGGAAAAGTGGAAAAGTGGAAAAGTGGAAAAATGGAAAAACGGAGAAGGGAACAGAAAAGTGGAAAAGCGGAAAAGCGGAAAAACGGAGAAGGGAACGGAAAAGTGGAAAAGTGGAAAAGCGGAAAAGCTGGTAGGATATCAGAAAAGTGGAAAAGTGGAAAAGCGGAAATGCAGAAAAAAACGACGAAGGGAACGGAAAAGTGGAAAAGTGGAAAAGCGATACAGCGCACAGGATATTCAGGAAAGTGGAAAAGCGGAAAATTGGAAAAACAGACAAAACAATACAGGGAAATATCAAGTAGAAAAGTGGAATAATGGAAGAGCAGAAGCAAGAAGAGCCGTCTTCGGGGTCTCTGGGTCCTCGTGGGCTCTTGGGCCGCCTTGGGAGCGTCGTGAAGCCTCTGATGGTCGATCCTGGATCCTCGATCCTCGATTCTCGACGTTCGAGGTTCGAAACAGGTAGAGGATCACGTACTGACTTTGGATCGACGCTCGAGGATCGAGGTTTGATTGAGGATCGATCGAGGATGGAGGCTCGATTGAGGATCGAACATCAAAGATCGAGGACGGAGGGTGGACATTGGATCGAGGATCGACGATCCAGAGTCGAGGATACTGGATCGAGAACTGCCGAGCACTCGAGGTAGGAGGTTCCATCGAAGATCGAGGATCATTGATCGATCGAAGATCCAGGTTCGATCGAGGATCGCGGATCGCAGATCGATGATCGAGGATTGATTTTCGCTAGCTCCGATCGAAGATCAGAGTTCGATCGAGGATCGAGGATCGAAACTGGATCGAGGATCGAGGATCCAGGCTCGTTCGAGGACCGAGGATCGAGTTTCGATCGGGGATCGAGGATCGCCAGGATCGATCGAGCATCGAAGATCGATTGAGGACCGACGCCCGGAGAGAGGGAGGCGGAGGAGGGAGAAGGGAAGACGATGAGGGAGGAGGACGAGGAGGTAGGATGGACGAGGAGGAAGAGGAAGAGGAGGAGGAGGAG